CCTCAATTTAGAATCTGGAACATTTCTTCCATCAAGGGGGGAGGGGGAAATTCAGTCCAATGAGTCTGTCTCAAGATCTTCATCGCTTGTATGCTCCACTTGTATTCTCTTTTCAGTTACTGGATTAATGCTTTGAGCCCAAAATGAGATATATTTTTATTACTGTAGATTACATGTTGTTTGGCTGGGAATACAATACAATAAACTTTATTTTGCATAATGCATTTCACACAAGTTGCATCTGAAATGCTTTACAGAGCAAAACTGTCCAAGTACAAAGTTTTGTAATAACAGGAGAAGGAAAGAAAACACAAATATTAGAATTTGAGAAAGTTACATTGGAGGACATTCAAAAGAAACTGAAATACAAAAAAGATATCTTGAGATTCTGAAGAAGAATTGGGCTAGATTCACTAAGCAACAACTAATTTATGCCTGAATTCTGGGAGCACAAAGTTAAAAGCAACAATAGTCACAGTATTCAGTGGAGAGAAAGGACAGGAATAATGGCATTTACAGATGTGGCCATGATCTGGCATTTTAATCAGTTTTAAAAACTCCCACAAGCAGCTAAACTGCTCTGTATCCTCCAAATAGCTACAGAAGCAGAGACAATGAATGTACCTATAAAAATGGTTACTTTGTAGATACATCATAAAACCATGAAATGTTTTTACTATCTGCCACTGTATAAGTGACCTATAACATGTTTTCAAATTATCTCCTCACTACCAATAAAAAGCCCAGGTAAGTTTACTAAGAATATCAAACTTTATAAATGAGAAAAAGGGACTGTGATAAACTAGGAAAACAAAAACAAGTGTACAAGAGACATGAAGTCTAATTATTGAAATGATGTCCTTGTACTGAGAAAATACTGAGAAAATAAAGGAGGAAGAAAGTTCTCATGGTAAATGTATATCCAAGCTTCATTCATATAGTATCTATCAAATGCAAGTCTTTGGGCCTACTTTTATTGGCTTCCAGGTTTCCAACTGGGATTGCCTTCTTTCACCACCAATATATTTTCATAATTCTATGTTTAACATGTTATATAAAACCTAACTGTACTTTCACTTAATATTACAAAACAGTTCACAAGAGGGATTACCTCAGTGAATCTCATCCTCTGAAAAAAGAATAACACATATGGAAGATTTTCTACTATGGGAAGTCACTTTAAAAGGCTTCATCAACTCTGGAAAATGAGAGGCTACTTAAAAGCTTTAACACTACTCTTTAAAAAAGAATGCAAGATTGAAAACTAAAAAGAATACTTACTGCTCAGTTTCCATTTGTTCCTCTTGCTTTCGTTTCCGATCTGCAGCTTCTTTCTCATGTTGGCCTTTTAGCATGTTCCTCCTGTGAGCAGCCTGGAAGTTTCTTCCACCCTTTCTCTTCTGTTTGAGAATAGGTTGTTTTTATTAACTCTCAAGTTAGTGGTTTGAGACTAATTACAATCGTGGTAGATAGGAAAACAAGCAACTAAGTTTAAGCTTAAGGCCATGCTTAAATAAACAAGAGCAGAGCTACTGACCGCACAGGAGTCTATGACTTTCTTTCAGAAATGCGCTAAGAAGCTATCCAATTAAAATGTTTAGCTTTGAGCAGGCCATGGTGACTCATACTTTTAATCTCAGCATTTAGGAGGCAGAGGACAGGTAGATCCCTGTGAGTTCAAGGCCAGCCAGGTCTGCAAGGCAAGTTTACCAAGGTTGAAGAATTAGACCCTGTCTCAAACCTGCCAGTCTCTCTAAAAGCTAGCCTTCTAAAAATATTGAGAGAAATCAGATATAAAAGCCCATATACACACCTCAAGAGTTAATGTTACATTTCACTAACAAAATGACAGTAGGAAAAGATTAAAGTTTAATGTATAAATGCACCTCTTGTGTCTTTGATCACAGTCATCTGGGTTATCTACAGCCTGTTTATATAGCTGGAGTACTGGAAGTATATCTAATTTCTAGAATTACACTATACTATATTATAATTATACTATATGGGGGCAGGATAATTTTAAAATATAAAAACATTTCAAATAAGCCTTACTGGAATTCTATTAGGAAAAATAAAGAAACCCCAAAACCTTTAACAAATATTAAACACTATCTAGGAAACAAACTTAAGAATGTATTTGGGGAAATGGCTCAGTGGATTAAATGCTTCCTGTCCAAGAATGAGGACCTGCCTTCAGATCCCAAGCTTCCCTGTGAAGCTGAGTACGACTCTACCACCTGTGCTTGCGGGTGGCAGCGATGGAGAATAAGAACATGGTAGATAAGCAGACTAACTAACCAGTCTAGCTTCGGATTCACTGAGACCCTGTCTCAGAAAACGTAAAAGGGGTGGGGCCAAATAGATGATACCACTTAGGTTCAACTGGAGGGAGGGTTGGTTATCATCTCTCCCGTTCCAGGAGATCTGTCTACACATTAATACATACTGCAGGCAAAGCACTGACATGAAAAAGAAAATAATTAGCATGAGGAAGAGGGAGCTGGGGACACTAGAGGACCAAAGTCTGTATCCCCCAAACTCAACATTTTCACATAATTGTGGTGGCCCATCTATAATTACAGCCATGGTAGGCAGTTACACATGACCTCCGTATCACAGTTGCCACCAAGATTAGCCACATGAGTAGTTCTCCAGAGTTTGCTGGAGAGACACTTCTTAATGAATTAAGAACAATGAAGAGAGATTACCCGTATCAACCTTAGGCCTCTACATACTACGCGCTGCACAAACACCTCATACAGAAATATATGAAGAGACAAATAGGCAAGAAATGTCGAATGTGAATGTGCTACCTTTTCACCTTCTTGATCATCTTCGTCTTCCGAATCAGAGGTTGATGTAACCCCTGGTTTAGCTACATTTTTCCGTTTAGATTCAGCTTCTTTCTTTCCCTCTTTCTTATCTGGTTCTTTTCTTGGCTTCTCTTCTTCCTTTTGGCCTTCCTCCTCCTTTTTGAGCTGCTTTTTAGCTTGTTTTTCCTCTGGCCCCTTTTTCTTACTTTTGTCTTCATCAATAACCCTATATTAAGAGTACAACAGTGGAAGACTCATTTATACTTTTTCTTTTTTGAAAGAATTATTTATATAATAAATACACATGTGTATGTGCTGGATGTGGGTGCTGGGAACCAAACTCTGCTCCAGCCAACAACAGCGGGCACTCTTCAACAGCTAAGCCAGCTCCCCAGCCTTTATTTGCACTCTCCTTACCAAACAAGTATTTCAGGGGAAAAATCTTGGCAAAATTAAAAAAAAACAAGACGGTTTACCATACTACTATAAAAATGGGATTTCCATGATGTACAACTTTTGGGTGCTTCTTGCTCCTGTTTAGCATAGGTTCCAACACTGAGGTGTAACACACACCCCATTTAATAGAATTACATTTCACATGTTTATAAAAACATTTGTTTTAGAAATAATCAGTCATTTGTAGGGATTAAGCATAATGTTAAATAAATGACCAGTTATTTTTATTAAGCAAATCGTCATACAAACCATGAAGGTCCTGCACTGAATAGTGACATGAATGGTTCAATCAGTCTATTTAACACAAGAACCGTCAAATCTATTTTCTCTGCAGTTTTTAAGTATATTAACTGTTACTGTACCTACATTTTCAAAAAGACAACAGTTTTACTATGCTACCCATGCTGGCTGCAAATGCCAAGGGACACATGAATAATACAGTCTTGCAAAACAAAAAACAAAAAATCTTATTTTTGTGGTGGTAGTGGTTTTCCCCCTTTAACAGTACTGTAACAACTAGCTTGGAAAGAAAGCTCTTGAAAAGTTCTATTTTGGTTGAAAAATACCAACTCTGAAAATAATCAATTCAGGTGCAGAAAAATGGCTCAGTGGTAGAAAGTGTTTTTTGTTCTTTCAGAAAACTAGAGTTTGCTTCCCCAGGCTAACCTGGTGGCTCACCATTGTGAGTTTCAGATCTGATACCTCAGTCTGACTAAGAGCACTTGTGATGTATATACCACAGTTAAGTCCATCCCTAAGTCATCCCTACAAAACCTTTAAACACAATCATCACAACAGTCTCTCCTTTTCCTGATTATATCCCTTCTCAAGTTCCTCAAAGAAATTCAAGGTGAACAGATTTTCTAAGTGGGAAAGGATAACTAGATAAAAAAAGAAAACACCAACCCAGGAGATGGCTCAGAGGGTACAGATGCTTGCCATTAAGGTCTCCTTATGTGATTTTGATTCCCTGGAGCCATGTGGTAAAATGACCACAGACCTTGTGGTGCTTCCACACATATACTAAATAAATACAATGTAATAAAAAATGATTTATAAAAAGAAAAACAATACTTTCTGTGGTAACTAAATTTTTATATTATTTTAAAGAACCTGTTACATCTGGACACTATTCAAATATAATCTGCACAGAAATTTTTCTCAGCAATTTACCTTGCCCAAGTTCCCTGTTAGCCTACATGACCTAAATTTGTTATTATACACCCCCCCCAAAAAAAAATAACACAGCAGACTTCAATTCCTTTAACACAAACACTCCTCCAATCTCTCAGTTATCAGTTTTAGAGATAAAATAGTGATAGAAACAAGTACTATATAAGACAAAAAGGAAAAAAACTTAAAAACACAATACTATTTTTCTACTATTTACAAATGTCTCAATAATTTTGTATTCAAAACAAACTCACATGTCACTTTCTGAAGGACAGGGCTGTTTTACCACTTTAGGTCTGCCTCTTGGTTTTGGAATCTTGACTTCAGTAGCTAATTTTCATACAGGAAAAAAAATTTTCATTCTTAAATACAAGGCTTATGTAGAATACGAATGTTACATTTTATATTTATATTACATATATATATACACACATATACCCATATATATACATATATGTATGCACACACACACACACACCCTAGAAACTAGTGACCCCAGGGATAAAGTGACAATTTAATGATTTACAATAAATTTTCATTTGTCCTTATGTTTGACAGAGATTGAAAACTGAGAAATTACAGTCGGGATGGAATGTATGAGAAAAATGTATGTATAGTCTCATTCAGAATTTGCATATCTATCACCAATATGTTATGTGTACTATACATCTTTGGAACTTTATCAGAATTCACAAACATCTTTATCATTACCAGTTTGATGCATTATAATACTATAAAACATGTACATTTCTTTCCAATCTGACTATTCCCTTAACAGTTTTCAGTAAGGATACTATTGTGATGTAAGGGGAAAAAAATTTATCTAGTTGATTTTCAGTATTGTATTCGGTATTAGGAAGAACAACTCAAGATTATTTCCAAATTATCTAATCAATATTAATCCTATCAGAATGCAATAATCTGAAATTGAAAAAAGTAAAATAAGCCCACTATTTGTGGTATTTTTAAGCTCACTAGATAAACTTTTCAGAATTGGGAGAGATTTTAATTTAATTTGGACAAAAGAAACCATAATTATTTCAAATTTAATAGCTATCACAAGCACAAACCATTTTTCTGCTTTGAAATTATTCTTGTTTATAACCTGATATCTACATGACATTTTCTCAGACATGTAGCACAGCGGTAATTCTGTAAAACTCCATATCCTGCTGACACCACAGACATAGTCATACAGTGAAACTGCCTGATGACTAATTTCTCCAGCCTCATCTATGTCCGTGTTAAAAGTGATAATGTGACTGTCTTTAATCAACTTCTGTTAATATTATTCTAGAACACTGAAGCCTGCAATGTTTTAATGGACTGGAATATTAATCACAAGCCCAGCAAGTATTTAAGCATTAACGAACCTACCTGCAGGTCTTCCTCTCTTAGGACTTGCTTTCACATTAGAAGCAGTTGCTGCAGTCACCATTCCCGCCTCTTCAATGTCTACTTGTTTTTCAGCCTGAATTACAAAAATATAATTAATTTAGCAAAATTATAAGCATAAAAGCATAATTTCTGTATGAGTTTTATTACTTTTGAACAATCAACGTATCATTTCAGTGTTTTCAATCACCTTTTTAGAAATTTCCCAACCTCAAACAATCATTTGAAAAAAATAAGACTAACATTTTTGATACAATATGAATACCAAAGTATAATGCGATTATACCTAAAGATTCACATTGCCACTTCTAACTAATTAACTTTGCTTTACGTTTCAACTGAGACTGACATCTGATGCTATTACTTTTATTTTCTAGTAGAAAACTACAAGGCTGAAAAGTTAGTGCCCTCAAATGAGAATCAGCTATTACTGACTTAAAGCCTTTCAGGAAAATAAAATTAGATATAAAATGAAAACATAAGGATATCGATGGTAATGGTTATAATTGCAAAGGGATGAACAAAATTGAAGAAAGTCAACTGAAGCATGTAAGGTCATTAAACAGCCACTTGAACTTCAGTATTAATGTACCAACCAGAGCAAGAATGTTTACAAAAACACACAGAAGTGCATTCAGTTAATAAGAAAATTGTCAATATATTTACAAGAAACTGCATTGCTTTTGTTTACTTTTATTTGAGGGGCAGAGAAGTCAAGAAACTGCATTGCTTTTGTTTACTTTTATTTGAGGGGCAGAGAAGTATTGTATCACCATGTAGACAGCCCAGACTAGCCTTAAAACTATCTTTTCCGCCAGGCGGTGGTGGTGCACACCTTTAATACCAGCACTTGGGAGGCAAAGGCAGGTGGATTTCTGAAGTCGAGGCCAGCCTGGTCTACAGAGTGAGTTCCAGGACAGCCAGGGCTACACAGAGAAACCCTGTCTCGAAAAAAAACAAACAAAAAAAAAACCAACCAAACAAAAAACCTATCTTTTCCTGCCTCGGTGATTCCTGCCAACTGTGATTATAGGCATGCCACCCGGCCCAGGTCAATCTACCTTTAATCAATGATGCCTAAGATGATAAAGAATGATATCTGCCTCTAAGAATTTATGCATAATACATACTCACATTATTAAAACTGACCCAAGGTTACTCTTTGATTGTTCTCTTTAGAAACAAAGCAAACTTTCTCATGAGATCTCAGGTTAAGGATATATGAGATCATGCTACCCTAATTCCAGATCTGAACCTGCAACCTCATATTAAAGAGCCAGACATCTGTATTTCCATAAAGCTCCAGAGATGTCAAAGGTTAAACTTTTCCTGATGACTTAATAAATAGGTCAGAAGTTCTTTAAAGTTAGGTTTAAACAGATCGGCTCAAGGGCAAAAAGAACTTATTCACTTACCCTTTCTGCATTTGGAAATAAGTTGAAAGCAAGTTAAGAATTACAGGTACAGTGGATCATTTGAGGAGATGCCAATAAACAGTGAAACATTCATCAATAATTAATACAGTTAAAAAACCCAACTCTAATATTAAACAAAGATTGGCCCTACCATGGATTGTTTATGACTATTACTGCAAAATCATGTAAGTAAAAGCTACTACTCAGGAAAATATTTTATCCAGAGTAAAGACTAGTTATTTGAAATACATGCATGAATATCTTTAATGTTCACATTCTAGCTAGATTGCTAATATAATTAACTTACTTAACTGAAACCTCTTAACACTGGATTTCTTTCTCATAGTTACCCTGCTTTCCAACTCTGTCTTTCCTCTTTCCTAAAGCCATTCCACATCCATCAGAGAACCACTGTTCATATCCTTTCCCAAGCCCTCATCCTTGCCTGGCTGTCCATACTTCACAAATCCCCAACAAAGACTAAGCTAATAAACACTAGGACGACAGGAGGGAGAGGATACAAATATAAAATCATTGTCTTTCAAGTTGGAATCTCAAATCTATGGTTAGTCCTTTGACCTTCTAATGCAAGTCCTGAAATGCAAGTCCTGAGTAGTTAACATACTTGTATCCACTTATTGATTGAACCAAAATCAGAATGGGAAAGGAAAATATAGCCAGAAAGAATTCCCTTGATTTCCAAGTCCCTTCCTGAGTCACACATCTCGTCTTCCTTTTAAATCAACCTCTTCAAAGTGGGCGTTCACCTTATGCATTTACTTACATAACTATCATTTTTCCTAGTTTTGTAAGAAAATAAAGGTTTTTAATGCCATTTCATATTAAATGTGTCCCTGTATATATGTTATGCAAAACCCTGATTTTTTTTGTATGTTTTTTGTTTTTATTTTTTATTTTTTCTCAAACTGCAATTCATTCACACAGGGGTTATAAACACAGAAAGGCAGGATGTGGGGAAGGGAATGACACTGGAGTGTGGGTGTTCAGGGGGAATACAGATATCTTCAGAACCGCATATCGGCTGGGTGAAGGTTCAGGGGACAAGTCACTAGGACTCTGCCTATGACTCGCTTGTCCTTATCTAAGTTGGTATTGTCTCCCAAGGCTACCTATTCACAAGGTCTATGACTACTCAGGCTTATAAAAAACCCTGATTTATTACTGCATTACTTCCCCTATTTCTTGAGATTAAAAATATACCTGCAGCTCCCATTAAACATTTATTCTCCAATCTACTTAATTTCATTTCTGTCCTTAACACCTAAACAAAACTAAAATCTCTTGAATAGACTAATTACCAAATATCTTTCTGGAATCTTTGTACTAGGACACTACTGTTAACTCCCTTGTTATTTTTACCTTTCTTTCTTAGCTAGATAACTTCCCGTTTCTCTTCATGGTTTCTCCAAGTCAACATTTCATAGAGGTATGGTTCCCTCATCTCTAGTCTATCCTGTCTCAATTCTGGCTTCTGCCTCCATCGCGGTCAACATATTCTCTTGATCTCTAATATCTTACCTTTATAGCAGTGGTTGTCTCTCTTCCCTCTTTTATACTGTAATCATAGGTTAACTTCACTACAATTCCCAAGAGCACTTACACTTTTTCCTCTGAACACAAACCAACATGCTCATATATCCCCAATCAAGTATACAGTCACTAAAGTAAACACCTTGGAGTCTTCCCACATTCTGCTCCATTCCTTTTACCATCAGTTAACCAACTTAACTTCCTCAAGTGTTATTAATTCCATCTCAAACTAACAAAAATAAACAACTTGACGTAAGGAATTTAATGCTAATTCCTAAGGCCTTTCATGGCCTACTCAGTTACTAGGTCACTCTCACAGCCTCATCTGAACTGTTACAGGCAATTAAGCAAATAAGCCTTTTGGCTTCCCTGTATATATCAACGTTACATGTATATTATGCTATTGTCTATTATATGTGAAAGTATTATCTTAAAAGAACAATGCACATACCTGATGGGCATGTAATTCAGCAATGGACCTTGCCTAGGATGTGCAGGCAAGGCCCAGCACCACAGAACAAAAACACCCATTGGTTTAAAATGCTAGCAAACAGAGCTTGGAGTGTTCACTCTGTGGCAGAGCTTGTGCTTATAGCATGTTGAAAGCTCTAGATTTGATCAACATAAAAAAACCACATACATCAAAATGCTAACAAATTGTCTATGCCTTCAGTAAGCCATAATGGTTGCCTTACCTTGGTGTTGATGGCTACAACTTATCAGCATGGTAGTTACTAAACGTGGGGGTACCTGTGGCAGTTTCTTAAAAGGAAACAAAATGAAATCTATCCCATCAACTGATTTATTCCACACACAGAAAATTTCGTTGTAGAACGCAATGAGCAATGATTGATTTTTTTGGTTTTTTTTTTTTTTAAACCTACAGACTTCTTTCAGATTGGGGTCAATGTCTCAAAGTCTGATGCTGCTTTATCAGCCATTTACATAATATCTGAAATCCTTTAATGTCATTTCAACATTTATAGAACCTTCACCAGTAGACTGTCAAGTCACTCTGACTGCTAATCCACAAGTGTTTATTCACAGGCATGGTTATTCTCACTGTATACTTGCACATTTCCATCACATCACAGCAACCAGGTGGAGAGTCAGTGAAGATCTGCAGAAAGCAGTCTTTTCCTGAACAGTGGGACTCCACAGGAGGATAGAACACCCCGTTAGCCATGTTGTGAACAGCTGCCACAGGTTTTTTCCTTAATTTATAATGATGGTTCATTTAGTGTAA